GAGTTTGACTCATCTCAACGTCTTGAACCAGCAACTCCATGGACGAGACCACTGGATCTCTGATGCATAATAGAGTAATGGCATTTCAGGTGAAACTGCGTTTACACAATATAAATTGTATTTTAAGTAGTGGGAGCTTATCCCCGCTACCACCCTCGGCGACATGACAACTTTAGAAGCTGCGTTTATAGGAGACATAAATGTACTGTGGAACCTTGTCTCACTGTCCTTGTTATCCAATATTGAACCAAGACAGCTTTATGGTGTTCCCAAACGCACACTTTTACTTTGCAGCAAAACTTGAGTTCAATCCGCGCTGAGCGGGCACGCCGTTTTTGTGACTTTGAAACACAGAAAAATAATTTCAAACTGTGTCGCAACTTGTCCTATTTGATATCGACGTAGGAACTGCTTCCACATTCAGCAGATGGAGTTGAAGTCATCTATAGAGCTAACAGTGTAGCGGGGCACGAAAGACAGGGGCTCACACAGCTCACTCAAAACAGCTTGGCCTATCGCTCGCACCTTGAGCACATTTAGTAGCACTATATCTGTGATCAGCTGTTTACAGTGACGAAGATAATTAACAAACCACCACCACTGGATTCCACTCACGGAAAAAGACCCGCTGTCTGAGACTCTCCCTACAGAAGGACAACGGTCAAGAAAACACGACGCCAAAAATCCGGCTCTACCATTGGTAGATCTATTAATTCTAAAAGCTCTTTCATTATATATTTCAACTTTTTTTGCTTTGATTCATATTATTGTTTGTTTTGTTGTTGTTGTTGTTTTTTTAATATCATTTTTCACTGGTCAGTGAGTGTTTATCCAGTTCGGCCTGATCGAGTTTGACACCTCTGATGTACTCCATATGAATAGGCCATTCCCACAGAGCAGTAATCCGTACCCCGTCAAGTACAAAATGTATCAGAAAGGCAAAAAAATACATTAGAGTAACTGTACCCCAATAGAAATACTACACACGCCCTAAAGTGCATAATATAAAATGTATGTTATAATAATGCATCAGGTACAATGATGTAACGTACATTGTAAGTACTTATAAGTGGAAAGGTTGTGACGCTGAAATGCAGCTCATGTGTTTGTACACGTGTTTGATCATTGTACCTTCTATCACAAAGTCAAGTGCGCATGGTTTGTTTGTTATTACTGCCCCTAGGCCTACGCCTACCGTGTCCGTTGCGGAATTATGGGACTACAACAACAACAACAACAACAACAACAACAACAACAACAACAACAACAACAACAACAACAACAACAAAAACACAGACAGCATAAACACCAAGCAGAACCAAAGCACATGATATATACATGTTTAACAATTAATTTATCAAAACCATTAGCTATCTGTCCTATCCTGAACAGCGAGAAGCCTTGTAAACGTAGGCCTATTTAAAAAAAAGAGACCAAAGGACTGTCAAAATGCCATTAATGATAGGAAGTGCCTATTTGCAACGCCGCGTTGCCATTAGCGCCAGTGCTAAATAAAACGCTGTGTGTTAGCCTAGGCTATATGAAGCTTAATCTACCTTTCGTTAACGGAAGTTCTGAAGGCCGAAGTGACAGCGCGTTTGCCTTTGAAGCTAAACCATTAGTTTATGAGCGTGGCTTCGATCCCGGTCCTGGAAAGTGGGGTTTTTTTTTTTTTTTTTTTTTTTTTTTTGGTCCTCTTCTCGACTGACTTCCCCATAATTATAACTCGTTGCTTTGTAGGCTTTTTTAAAATGTAGATCTAGATCTAGATCTAGTGGTGAAGCATGCACTACATTCTGGTTTTGTCCCCAAGAGTGGGCCAAGAGGAGCTCTGTACAAAGTAGGCCTTAGTTTAGCCTATACTTTTCCATTTACCAATTTAGGCCTGGTTAAAGTTCAATAGCGGCTTTCCTTGGTCTGTGAGTCTAATTATTATTTTTATTTTCAAAAATTTAGGCTCAGGAGAAGAAAAAATAAAAACCTTCCGGGACCGGGATTCGATGCCGCGAATGAGAGCACTGAACATTAGACTAAGGCCTAGCGAACGTAGACAGCTTGTATACACGTTCTCTAGGCCTAACTTAAAGATAATATTTTAAGTAGATCCAGAATCTATACGACACTGCGGACAGGAAATACTGCTTTTACCGAGTTGCACCGTCTTGTTATTGTTATCCAAGCGTCTTTCGACTTACTAGCTCAAACTCAAAACTCAAATGATTATGATTATGAGAGATGAACAAGACTACGTCTTGTCTACTTTTGTGCAAACAATGTCAGAAACAATTGTTAGATCTAATCTAGATCTACCCAATATTGGTTGGAATAAGACAACGTCATAAAAAGGAGTTTTAAAAATCCTAGGAGGTTCATACCAAGAAACGGAGAAAACTTCCACAATTCAAGCAGAACTACAATATTATTATCATGTAGAAACGATGGCTACTAGATCTAGATATCTAGATCCGGCTCCTAGATTTTAGTAGGCCTACTGGCGTTTCAAATAGCACGGGAGCTATTCAGAACGCGGCGTTGCAAATAGCGCTTGCCTAAATGATAAGTGTGCCAGGGCTCCCCTTTACGTACAAATGTGCGTATATTACCCCTTAAACCTGTAGATTACCATCTTAACGTTTTGGTTGTGCGTGAACATTACTCTTTAAAATTTCGTTTCGGGAGTTTGCATACGCTTTAAAACATATGTGGTGTGCGTCTGGCAAGCATCATTTCCCCCTTCTCTATCCCGAAGCCGAGTCAATGATTTGACAATTGACAACACACCCACACACATAGGCTACAAGGCACGATAGTCACTTTTTTGTCAGAAGTAGCTGACCTACTTATCAGATGCGCGGTAAATTCCGGTAACACAGGCCTGCTTCAGTAAAGCCCCGCCCACATTAATATATTTGCCAGCTTGAGTTTACCCCTGCCGTAAGATTATTCCAACAGACCTGGCTACTCATCCCGATTTGTATCCCGATTTTTTTGCCTCAAATCTCAAGCTTCCCGATTTTCCCGATTTCGATCGCGTTTATCCCGCTTTTATTGTTGTGCTAATTTTTTTTTAACTTACTCTGCCTTCTTCTCTGTCGCGGGAAGTACCCGTTAAACTTTTTCTCAGCAGGAACTCGGAGCACTATTTCCCGAAATATCAATGCCGGATTTAGTAGATCTTGTTGACTTGCCCCAAGTTTTGTTGGATCTTTGTTCGCACGCGTTATTTCCACTGTACGTAGGCTAATGGAAGTGGTATCGATTTGGCATTACGACTTGGGACATTCTCAAGATCTACTTTTGCTTTCACTCAGAATCCCCTGCAGATGGCTTGATAAATGTTTCAATTGCGACATATAAATGATCAATATTAATCGTAGATCTAGTTCTGCTGTTACTTTTCAAAACAAACTTTGCCCACATTCTGGTTAGGCTAGTCGGCCCCGTCATCAAGACCCATCAGTCATCAGTAAAACTGTTTCAATCGCGCGTTTGCATCACGTGATTTCAGCGTTTGAGTTCCGCGTGTGCCGGGGACCGTCCGTTGATGGGGTCAACTTAAGTTCATTCACACTGGCTGAAGCGTCTTTCGAGACTT